GTATGTGTAGTATTTGTTTCTATTGGAACGTAACTGGTGAGATGATGCAAAGCCGTTGGTAGTGATTGATCAAGTGTGGGAATTGCATCAACGTCTTTCAGATAGGATAAACTCGGGCGTGATACTTACTGCCATTGCATGGTCACCTTTGTAGAGGTCTTGCAATTGCACAATCATGACGACACTGTCTGAGCCCATTTCTTGGCTGTAACTTTCTTCTCTTGTTTGAATTAGGTTTTATTAATTTATTAGTATCCTTGTTTTTTTTAATTATTTTGGTAGAATGTTGGTCACTTTTTATTGAGAGCTTAAAAAAAAAACACTGTATAGATTAAAGTGAGTGCAAGGGTAAACTAATACCATGCTTCCAAATATCAGGAATAGTATTCTCTGAATGGTTCTATTCCATGTCATGTTTGCACATAAGACCCATCTCTGTTATTGTTGTTATTATTTATAAGTAGGGAACCTAGTATACATTTTTGTTAATGTAGACTAAATGCACTAGATTTGTGCGTCTCCCCGTCAACATTGATTTTATTGACTTCCTTTTTCTGTTAATATGCTTTAGTCTATTCTAAATTTTATCTCTTTGCATACCAAAATTAGCATTAAAACCACCCAACCTTAATCAGAGTACTAATTGAGGTGCACCTCAACTAGTTATCAGAAGGAGTTATTCATAGCGATCTATAACTTCAGGTAAATTATAAGCAAATATTATCTTTGGTCCAGCAAAGAATTAGACTTAGGATTGTTGGTTGGATCATTTGTCGCCCCTTGATTTTTCCTGAAATTTTATGAGCTTTACATGTAAAACAACACCATGCAAAATTGAAAACAGAGTTAAATCTTCCATAACTAAAGTATTTCACAAACTTAGTGTTATAAGTGAAGCTTGTACGCTGTCGTATTGGCTAGCTTAATTTGCATCGCGACGTGTCACAAAATATCAATATAATTTGACTCAAGATTTGTCATTAATACCTTGATTTTAACACACAACACACACAGATACAATATATGTATACAATAATATATATAATATATATTATTATATATATATATAATATATTATAGATATATATATATATATATAGAATATATATATATATATATAGATATATTATATAATATATATATATCTATATATATATATATATATATAATATAGTATTTATAATAATTATATATTATAGTATATATGTAATGTATTATATATATATATATAAAGATAATATATATTAGTATAACATATATATATATGATTATATAGTATATACTTATATATATATATAATTATATATATATTATATATACATAATATATATATATATATATATATTATATATCTATAGATATATAGTATATATATATAATATGTATATATGTACATATATATACATATGATCTTATACTATATATACATATGATATATATACATATATATATATATATATATATCTATATATATTCTATATATATACATATATATATATAATGATACATAATTCTTTTGTAACAAATTAGTTTGTAATTATAGCAGTATTACTAAATATAATGACTAAGTTTTTTTATGACAAAATGGTTTGCCACGATAAACCATTTATCTTGGCACTAAATTTTGACTCAAACATTTTGTATTAATACCCAATTTTAGCATAATTATGACAATTATTTTAATAGCAATAAATAACTCTTTAGTGACAAAATAATTTATAGTTATAGCATGTAAACTAAATATAGTGACTAAAATGTTTTATGACAATATGTTGTCACAACAAACAATTACCTAGGTGCCAAAATTTGGTGCCAAAAATTTGTGACGAAATATTATGATAAAATTGTTTTTTTTCAATATATTTCTTATGGATTTCTTTATTGTGATAAAATATTATGACAATATTTGTTTTAGTCACTATATATTCCTTTTGTCATACTTAATGTGATGTTTTTTTATTTGTCATAATACATATATTACTTGTGACGAAATAACTTTTGATAAAATTAATTTTGTCACAATATAATATATTTCTTGTAGTGATCTAACGGCTGAAAACAGAAGATTGGTCAAACCTATAAAAGCATAAGTCTATTCCATTCACAGCAGTCTTTCTCTCTCTCGATTATAATCTTCCCCAAATTACTTGGTTAGGGTTCAAGAATAGGATTTTGTGTGTGTGTGTAAATCTGCTGATAATCTGTCCATTAGAGTTGCGTTTCTTTGTGGAGTTGAGAATCTGGTGTTGAGTTCTCTGTTTGGGTTGTAGATTTACCAGTATTAATATGAAGTCTGGGTAGTTCTTGATAGGGAATCTTGCAAGGGAAGAGTGATTGAGTGGTTGTAAACGTTCCTAATAATAATAGTAAGTGCAGCGAGCATCCATATTCTGGAGCTCAACGTGGACGTAGCTTGTTCAATATTGAACAAGTGAACCACAGTAAATACTGTGTGTTGGATCTGGTTTTATTCTGCTTTGATTGATTGATTGTGTTGGTGTTTGCTTAGAATCAGTGAGAGGTATTTACAACAGTGGTATCAGAGCCGTATTTTAGGGTTTCTTGATTTGGGAATTCCATTTTAGGGTTTCTTATAAACGAATTGAAATTTTAGGGTTTCTGATTTGGGAATTCTATTTTAGGGTTACTTAGAAATGAATTGAACTTTTAAGGTTTTGTGATTTGGGTATTTCATTTTAGGGTTTCGAAATATTTCAGGGCTTTTCGATTAATTAATAGTTCCATGATAGTCCTAAAGCTCCAAACACAGTTAAATCCCTCTAAAATCCTCAGCAAATCGAGTCAACTAAACACAATCTTAGTATCTTAGGGTTTGGTTTTTCGAACTCAAAATCATGAGTGTCACGCGCATGGAGATTTCCCAATACGATGGGAAAATAGATTTCAACACCTGGAAAAAGAAAATGAAGGCCTTGTTATCCCACAACAAGGTTGGAATCGCACTAGAGAAAGATGAATCCAAATGGCCAAAAGAAAAGAGAAAGAAGAAGGCAGAGGTGGACGAAGAAGCATACAACTTGATCATCATGAACTTGTCAAACACCGTGCTTCGAAAGGTGGATGGCGTGGAATCTCCAATTCCACTCTAGGGTAAACTCGAGTCTTTGTATACTCTTAAATCTGCTCCTAACTTAGCTTTCTTGAAAGGCGCGTTATTTTCTTATAAAATGGACTTAGCTAAATCCCTAGATAAGAATTTGGATGAATTCCTAAAAATGACTCTAACCTTAAAATGTATTGACCAAGAACTAGGAGATTCCAGCCTAGCCATGATCCTGTTAAATTACCTACTAGAGGAATACTTAGTGGTAAAAAATGCCCTTCAATATAGTGGAACAGTACCTAGTGTGGACCTGATTGTGTCTGGACTAAAATCTAGGGAATTAGAATTAAAGATTCAAAAGAGTAACTGTAGCAATTTGTTTGTGAAAGGGAAATTCGATGCTGGACAATTTGGTAAAGAGTCTAGTAAGAACAATCAGAGAAATGTAGGCCCTAAAAACAGAAAGAGTAGTAAAGGTAATGAGAGACCTAAGGGGGAATTTAGGAAGTGTTTTTTCTGTAACAAAACAGGGCATCTCAAGAAAAATTGTTATGAATGGATTAAAAAGAACAAACAGGCCAGCACATAAACAAACCTAGCTAGCTCTAGTAGTAACTTAGAAATATCTGAAGCCCTTACTATTTCTAATTCATCTAGAAGCAATGCGTGGGTGCTAGACTCAGGCTGTACCTTCCACATGAGTCCTAACAAAGACTGGTTTCAAAGACTTAAAACTGGAGAACAAGAAACAATATACATGGGGAATAATCACTCCTGTGAGGTTCAAGGAATAGGTGATATAACCATTAGGCTGAATAATGGTAAGCTAGTATTGCTCACTAGAGTTAGGTATAAACCCGAACTGAAACGTAACCTAATTTCCTTGGGAACCTTAGACAAATCAGGCTATTCCTATAAAGCACAAAATGGTTGTATGGAAGTCTACAAGAATGGGAATGTGTTGATAAAGGGTGTTAAGAAAAATGGGCTTTATATCCTGTGTGGGCAGTACTATCCTAATGTTTCTAATTCTGCTTTACTTTCTACTAACATATCTGCTGCAGAAAATTGGCACTTGAGACTAGACCATATAGGCCAAAATGGTATGAATGCATTGAAACAGCAGGGTTATTTCGGTAATGACATTGTAACTGCTTTAAATTTCTGTGAAACCTGTATTCTTGGGAAACAGCATAGGATGAGTTTCCACAAAGGAACTCACCTTGCTGCAAAGTGTCTACATTATGTTCATGCAGATTTTTGGGGTCCAGAAAAAGTAAAGTCACGTGGAGGGAACATATACTTCCTCTCCATTGTGGACGATTACAGTATGAAGGTATGAGTATACCTTCTCAAGACTGAGGACGAAGCCTTAACGAAGTTCAAAGGTTGGAAAACCCTAGTTGAAACACAGTTAGATAGAAAAGTCAAAACTCTTAGGACTGATAATGGGTTGGAGTTCTGTAACTTAGAGTTTGATACTTACTGCCTAAATCAGGGGGTGCTAAGGCATAGAATTGTTAGGGCAACCCCACAACAGAATGGGGTTGCAGAGAGGATGAATATAACTCTCCTAAAAGGGTCAAGTGTCTTTTTTTCACTGCTGGGCTACCCAAAACCTTATGGGGAGAAGCTCTAACCACAACAGCCTACTTGATCAATAGGAGCCCATCCAGTTCAATAGGTTTTAAGTGCTCTGAAGAGAAATGGTCAGGGAGGAGACTAAATCTCAATCACCTAAGGGTCTTTGGGTGTGTAGCATATGCACACACCAGAGAAGGTAAGTTAGAACCTAGGTCCCTTAAATGTGTTTTCCTAGGGTACCAGGAATGGACTGAAGGTTACAGGTTGTGGGAGAGAGATGTACCAGGAATTAGGGTCATAATTAGTCGGGATGTAGTCTTTAATGAGACCATGTTTCCTTGCAAAACTTTTACTAACAATGCAGGTTACCCAATAACAGATCCTGAAATGTCTGATCAAACAGAGAGATCTTAGTTTGAGGTGGAACCACCAATCGTGATAGAACAGTCTGAACAATCTGAAGCCACTGAACCACAAAGTCCCACACTGCCAAACATTGGGGACTAATATGAAGAAGAGGATCAGCCTGAAAACAATTATGAAGACCAGAATGACACCCTGGTAGAATACCAGTTAGCAAGAGACATAGTCAGAAGGGAGATAAGGCCCCCAAATAGATATAGTTATGCTGACTTGATCTACACTACCCTTATTGCTGGGGTAGATACACTAAGGACTGAACCAGAGACATACCAAGAAGCTATGAGTTCAAAAGACAGTAAAAAATGGCTGGAAGCCATGAAGAAGGAGATGATGTCCCTAAAACAGAATAGAACAGAACTTGGACTTTGGTCCTAAAACCTGTTGACCAGAAACTAATAGATTGCAAATGGCTTTACAAACTAAAAGAAGGCTTAACAAGCACTGATCCTCCAAGATACAAAGCCAGACTGGTGGCAAAGGGCTTCACACAAAGGAAAGGTATCGATTTTACATAAATTTTCTCTCATGTGGTTAAGTTTAAAACAATTAGGCTAAGCTAGCTATAGTGACTCATTATGACTTAGAACTGGAACAGTTGGATGTTAAAACTGCGTTTTTGCATGGTGAATTGGAAAAGAAAATATATATGAGTCAACCAATGGGGTTTAGGGATAGAAACCTGTCTGATCATGCTTGTCTACTGCATAAGTCCTTGTATAGACTCAAACAATCTCCTAGGCAATGGTACAAGAGGTTCGACTCATTTATAGTGGGAATTGGGTTCATTAGGAGTGCATATGATAACTGCTTTTATTTTGCCTATACAAATAACATGCCAATGTATTTACCGTTGTACATAGATGACATCTTGTTAATAAGCAAGTCTAAATCTCACATAGATGAACTAAAAGCAAAATTGAGCACTGAGTTTGATATGAAAGACCTAGGGTCAGCAAAAAGGATCTTAGGGATGATGATTGATAGGAATAGAAAATCAAATAAATTGAAACTTCATCAATTTCCATATCTGTAGAAACTAATATCTAGGTTTGAGATGACTGATGCTAAACCTGTCAACTTACCTCTACCAGGACATTTTACATTAAGCAAAATGCAGTCCCCTAAAACTGATGCAGATAGGATTAAAATGGAAAATATACCCCACTCTAGTGCCATAGGATCTATTATGTATTCCATGATAAGCACTAGGTCTGATCTCTCCTTTGCAATATCTCTATTAAGTAGGTTTATGTCAAATCCAGAAATAGAACACTGGGTTACTTTAAAATGGTTACTAAGATACATTAACACTACAATGCATGTTGGATTAGATTTTTGCAAAAGAACCCCTACACTTGATCTTGTTGGGTATGTGGACTTTGATTTTGCAGGAGATTGAGATTCAAGGAAGTCCACCACAGCCTACTACTTTACCTTAGGTGGAAACTGCATCAGCTGGAAATCCCAGCTTCAACCATTGGTAGCACTGTCCACAACAAAAGCTGAGTATGTGGCAGTGACTGATGCATTCAAGGAGGCAATATGGCCACAGGGGATCTTGAAAGAGGCAAACTTGATGGATGGAACTGTGACTATGTATTTTGACAGTTAAAGTGCCATCCATCTAAGTAAGAACCCCGTATACCATGAGAGGACAAAACATGTAGGTGTTAAGTTTCACTTTGTCCGAGATAAAATCTCAAAAGGAAGCCTGAACCTGCTGAAAATTCCAATCGAAGAAAACCCATCTAATATGGGAACAAAAGTTGTAACTGCTGTAAAGTTCAAGCACTGCTTGAACCTTCTTCACATCAACTGAACTCACACAGCTAAGAAGGAGTATGTGAATTGCTTACTGCACCTGTATGATGCTGTCTGAGGAAGGGATAAGGCTTCAAGGTGGAGATTGTTATAAGTGAAGCCTTATACGCTGTCGTATTGGCTTATGCTTAATTTGCATCGCGACCATTGGTTTGAAAGAGATCTAACAGCTAAAAACAGAAGACTGGTCAAACCTATAAAAGTAGAAGTCTATTCCATTCACAGCAATCTTTCTCTCTCTCGATTGTTATCTTCCCCAAATTACTTGGTTAGGGTTCAAGAATAGGATTTTGTGTGTGTGTATGTAAATCTGCTGATAATCTGTCTATTAGAGTTGCGTTTCTTTGTGGAGTTGAGAATCTGGTGTTGAGTTCTCTGTTTGGGTTGTAGATTTACCAGTATTAATATGAAGTCTTGGTAGTTCTTGATAGGGAATCTTGTAAGAGAAGAGTGATTGAGTGGTTGTAAACGTTCCTAATAATAATAGTAAGTGCAGCGAGCATCCATATTCTGGAGCTCAACGTGGATATAGCTTGTTCAATATTAAACAAGTGAACCACGGTAAATACTGTGTGTTGGATCTGGTTTTATTCTGCTTTGATTGATTGATTGTGTTGGTGTTTGCTTAGAATGAGTGAGAGGTATTTACAACGCTTAGAACATTTGAAATTACCATACAAACTCACACAAACAAAAGAGAAACCAATGAAAACAATAAAAACAAAAAACCCTCGATGCACAAAAGGGATAACAGCTTTTCTACCTTTTGGATAATCCTCCCCGAACTTGTCCAAATACCACTTATGATTCGCACGTGCCCTCGGCACCAAGTTAGCACACGTGTATAGAAAAAACCCAAAGCCTGGCCAAGACCGCGTCATCACTCCCCATCCAAACCACTCCACAATCTCACCAAAATAATTTGGGCAACTCACCAGCTCAAACCATCCTCCCTTTGGAATTTTATATCCACCGCCTTGTTTCTTTAACCCCACCAATACTTTATCAGACCAAATATTAATCCACATCGCACCTATAAAAATTACCAAGCCAATCAAAAACCGCCACCAAAACAGTCGCCCATCCTTACCCTCGTAATCTTTATAATGAGACACCCACCTGGCCTGTAAATAAGCGTTCAAAAGATTAAACCCAAATGCCATTAGAGCCACGGTGACCGGAAAGCCGCTCTTTTGAGAGGTGTTATTGAGATAAAGTTGGATCTGGTAGATGCATGTGCGGTGAAAGTAATGGAGGAGAAAAGGGGACATGAGAATGAAAGATTTGGGGTTGTTGAAGTTGCGACCAAATGGGAAGATTAAGAAAGTGAGCCAGAGAGTGGGGCTTTCCATGAGAAACCACGCCAACGGTGGTGACATGGTGGGTCCCCACCCGGGACGGTGGTGCTTGCCGTATGGGGCTTGGAGGAACCGGAGACTGATGAAAGTTGGTGGGGCTGTGATGTAGAGAGTGAGAAGGCAGTAGTGAAAGAGAGCCTGATCTGATGAAGCCATGGGAGTCAATTAGCAGAATCCGAGGAGCTTGCGAAATCTTATAAGGGAATAAACTTTGTATTTTGTGCTAATTATTCCCAAATTTAATAGAAAAAAAATATTGTTTGTAATTGTGTGGGGCACTGGGGCTTTGCCACTTTTAGGGTTCTTAGACTTCTATTTCTGGTGAAATGAAAGCCCGCAAGTTTATTTTGACACTTAATCCCACAATGGAAGAGCAAACAAAATGGGGAAGTATCAGAACCAAGATTAAGAGATGAAACTGATATGCAAATTTACAAATTTCAACTAATAAACATAATTAAACATAATTTTGATTTGATAAGAAATAAAACAAATTAAAATTCAGAGAGTCTGATCTGATGAAGCCATGGGAGTCAATTCGCAGAATCTGAGGAGCTTGCGAATTTTTATAAGGGAATAAACTTTGGATTTTGTGCTAATTATTCCCAAATTTAAATAGAAAAAAAATTGTTTTTAATTGTGTAGGGCTTTGCCACTTTTAGGGTTCTTAGACTTCTGTTTCTGGTGAAATGAAAGCCCACAAGTTTATTTTGACACTCAATCCCACAATGGAAGAGCAAATAAAATCGGGAAGTATCAGAACCAAGATTAAGATATGAAATCGATATGCAAATTTTCAACTAATAATTTACTTAATCCAATAGTTAAAATCTAAAATAAAAAACAAAGTATATATCTATTTTATTTTCAAGATAATAACATTTTATACCTTTAGTTTAACATCAAAGTTTTCTGATCACAATTGCCGCAAAAAATAAACACTCAAGAATTGGTCCTCACAAGAAGGAATGATAGATGACAAACCAACCATGACTCTATGGAGAAGTCTGGCTTGATAATCTCTTTTCTAATAAATCTTTCTCATTTTTCCAACAGATAAGGCTGCCTCTGTGGGGTATCAAACTCCCCTTTCGCGATGATGCTCCGCGAGAACTCTTTCCTCCATACTACACTGAGAAATTATATTTAAGATTCACAGTAGATAGATAAAATAAATAACTCTGGTTGACCATATGTAGAAACTTTTTTTCCAAGTCTCTATACAAACGATATATATCTTCAATTATATAGCAAAAAGTTATCAAAAAGGATGGTTTATTTAATATAAAAAAATATTAGTTATTTTAGTTGGTTGAAAAAATGTCAAATACCTGTATAGTTTTAAATTACTAAAATAGTATTTTAATATCAAATAAAATTATAAAATAGTATGATATTTAATATTATTTTATCTTATTTTTACATTTTAACACATTATATAAGCTCAAAAAGAGCTTATATAAGAAGTTCAAGTTTTAAGTTTTTCGAAACAAAACATAAAACAACTTATTTAATTACCTATAAGCTCTTTCTCAATTACAAGCAAATAACATAAAAATATTTTGAAAATAGTTTTTGAAATTAAAAATTTATATATAATTTTAGTTAATAAATAAGTTTAACCAAACAAGTTGTAAACAAGGACAAGCAAATGCAACTCATATGGTCGCCAAATTATAAGTTACATTCCCAAGACAACAACTCCTTATATACCTTTAAATTAGAGTCAACAACATGTTCCAAATGGCCATTGACACTTTCTCACCCTCAAACTTTTAAAATACTCTTTTACTGTCCAAATATTAGGTTTTCCTATGATTTGGGTGAGAAATAAAGTGATTTACCTAAAAAAAGGCCTCTCTTTTTTCTTCTCTTCTTAGTCTCTTTCATTGCTGGTAATTGTAGTTGGCGTTGGAGAGTGTCGGTGACCAAAAAATCAACAAACAATCACAAATATTGCAAATAAACATTCCTCAATCGTTTTTCAACCCAACAAACATAAAAACTGAACGTATCAAACCCAATTAATCTATCAAAACTCGAAAAACCATAGGGTGAAGAAGCTTCAATCGCCGGCGATTGGTGAGCAAACGGGACCAAGAATGTTGGGGTTTTGCAGAGGAAGATCCAAAGAGTCGATTGGTGGTGAAAGAGACGATTTCTAACACCGAAAACGACCCAAAATTGGCTTAAAAATTGAAAGGTCATGCACCGATCAACAAGCAAGGATGGTGATGGAGGTAAGGGTTTTGTATAGTGGGTTGCGAGGAGTGTGATGGTGGTGTCTGAGTGAATTTCTGGTAAAGAAATCGACCGAAAATTTGGCTTGAAGAGTCGACCATGCGAATGGAGGTGGTGATGGGAAACGGTGAGTGATGACGCCAAATGGAGGCTTAGGCTTTGTAAAGGAGGTGATGGGGATTATGTGGGTAGTTTCACAAGTGATTTTGAATGTCGAGATCGACCGAAAAAGGGAAAAAATCGTCGACGGTGACATCTCGTTGACTCCTTTAAATTAAGATAGATAAGTGAATGGAAATAAATAATATTTTTAAATTAAAAAATTTAATTAAATAAATGTGTATGAATTATCCTACACGTGTGCACTTAGGACATATGTTAAGAGCACTAGAAGACAAAATATATGTCTTTCAAGTACATATGTGCCTTAAAACAACCCAACATTCTATTAAGAAAGGAATTAAAAATTGATTAGAGGGTTTTTCTTTTTTCTTTTTTTTTTTTAATGGTGTTTTTGGATACTGTAAAGAGATTTTATGATATTTTATAGGAGTCTTTTAAATAATTTTAGGAAAGTATCTAATACTTTCAAAAGACCTCTGAGACTTAAAGACTTAACTTCCCTATAAAATACATAAAGAAAATACTATTTTCAAATAATTATATACATGGTTTTTTAATATTTTAAAATAAATACAAGAACAGACTAAGTATCACGAATTACAAGACTAAATCCTTGCAAAATTTGAATAATAACTTGCCTACAATAACACAACTATATTGAATAATTCATCAGTTTATTGGATATAATGAGAGATTATAAAGTATGATATCTTAACCAAATAATCAGATTTTTCTCTTTAACTTGATTCTTCAATATTCTTGCTCCCATAGTTGAAACTTCCATGATTTCTTCACTCAAAATGAGAAGGTGAAAAGAGAATGTCACTATGAGCAAGGTGATCGTACGTTGCCCTAAAGGTTAAAGCCTATATAAAAGACTCGTTGGGCCCTACTTCTACTTTGAAATTTTTAGTTGATCGAATAAAAAAAACAAACGACTTTGTCCTTTTCGTGTCTGATATATGGCCTCTAATTTTAACAATCTCATAGTTATTGTCTAGTTGCCGGACTGAAAATAGAAGTGTTTTCGGAGAACAAGAATTTCAGGAACTAACCAGTCGAAGTTTCATTGACGACATAATACAAATAATACACAAATTAATTATAAATTATCATTAAACACCATTTGTTTTTGTTTGCTGAATTCTTATAATCTAGAATAATTATCACTTCAATTTAGAGAGGCCGTTTCAAGATGTGATTATTTTGCATTTGAGAGTGACGACAAACTCTTGTATATTTAAACGAGTACAATATCATTCAGAGTACTAGACCTAATTAGGGTAGATAAACTGAATGTTTAAGTTTTAGACAAAAAAAAAAAAAAAAAAAAAGCTAAGGCAATAGAAAAAAGCCGTTTATTTATCTATTTATGACCTAAACAAAACATCATGACTGCCATTCTTGAATGAAAAAAACTAAAAACAAAAGGACATTAACCCCATAATTAATATCTATAACTTAAAAGTTCAAGAAATATTGCTTAAACAGTATTGAACTATGATAATCTGCATTAATTCTGAAGCACTATTCCATTACTTAAGACGTGAGATAGCTGAAAAAGGGTTTACCTGCAACAGGAACGCACTTGACAATCCAACCAATCGGAATAAATTAAGAAAACTCTCAAAGAAGCCACTCAAGCTTCATATATACGACGACCAAATAACCGATCATTTTGGTCACTTTAATTGTGTAGTGCACTGCACCAGCTTCACCTTGTTGCACGTTAAGAGTGACCATATCTCCAGGTTGAAGACCTTTATTGCGAGCGAATTGACGCCAACCACTAGTGATTTCAGGCTTGGAATAATTACCTGAGTTTCTTTTGGCCAAACGAAAGTTGTACCGTATTCCATCTGAATCTGTAACCATAAAATGAACGTAGTTAACACCTTCCGGAAAATGAAAACGATTGAAAGCCTTTATTGGTAAAGCCAATTTACGTGTTATGTCTGTGGGGGATAAAACCTTGGAGAAAACCTGCGCCATTCCTGATTAATTACCACCTGCTCTGGGATACCAGGTGAGCATTTTTTATAGGCAAGAGACAGCCGGTGCTAGTCTTTTTTCAAAGAGTTATGACAGCAGCTGCCTTTAGAAATTAAAAATATTTAAAGTTAGTCTCATCTTCACTTGGTCCAATTCACTTTAATTAATTTGTTCATGACAATATATGATGCTTTAAGACATAATTAGAAAAAAAGATTAAAAGTTAAAAATAAAACAAATAATTGAAAGCTTCATTTTAGAATATTTCGCAATGTTTATCTTCAAATATTAATCATCTGTGCTAACATCATGAGCTAAATAAATAGCCCATATGAATCACTCCAAATATTATCAAATGACTTTATAGGTGCTGATATTGATGTTTTGTGGAAAAACTTTGACAATTTTGACATTTATGAAACTCGCTGGAGTTCTGTGGCGAATCTTTGTCAAACGTATGCTTGAATTGGCGGATTAAGAATCATGCCAATTGAAATATCTGTACCATAGTTTTCTTATATCACATTTTTGATATGGGACAATCGAATGCAGATATTAAGATTCATGCCAATTGAAATATACCATATCTTTCAATACCGTATGCTTGTAGTTTTTGGTGTGGGTCAATAGTGGGTTATCCAATCTAATCTTCAAACTTCTAAATTATACCATATATTTATCAATGTGAAGGTCATCTTAGAGCTCATAAAAGCATGTGCAAAGTGCAATATTGGCATCTATGTTTAATTTTTGAAATCTCGTTTTATTCTAAATTTATGCTTTTTTTAATGGTAAAATAT